TTTGCACCCCTAGTATTTATGTATATGTATTAGAGGTGCAACGATACACAAAATTCACGTCGGTTCGGTTCGATACTTTGGTGTCACGGTTCGATATTTTTTCGATACAAAAAAATGTTCATGCTTTTTAATTTGTCATTTATTAAAATTATAAATATATATTTTAACTCAAACGTACAGTTTTTAAATTTAATGTTGCTGAAACAACAAAATAATAAAAATAAAAATCTATCTGATCGAGAAATCACTCATCTTTGGAAAAGAGAGTTTATTACAGAGAAATGGCTCTTTCCAAAATAAAAGCTATACTATACGCTTCTTCTGGGCTATATTCTCAGCAGCATATTAAACATATCAGGTCCCCATAAGGAGAATCTGTGCTAACGCTGTCTAAATGACTCGGGTAAAGTGAGCATGCGTGCTTGTTGTTTTTGTCTCTTCCACTTGTCTTTGCACTGAGGATGATGTCGGCGTAAATGTGCAGTCATATTCGTTGTGTTCCCACTAGTGCTGTCAGCGTTAATCTCGTTAAATGACATTAACGCCATAACGTGGCAGAATCCCGTTACAAGTAACGTGTTTTTTTGCCTGTCCCATTTGGTTCTTTAGCCGTCAGAATTGTTGTCTGAAGACCAACAAGGATACCCAATGGATTTACTTTGCCAAATGGATCATCAAGGCCTTGCCGTATTGGTCATTTGATCGACCTTTGTTGTTATTGTTTATATATTTTATTTTCAGTTGTTACAGATGGGACAGACATGACTAGAGGATAGGAAAGGGAGAAAGAAAGATGAAGGAAAAGAAAAACAGAGGAGAGTGGGATCCAATTTTATAAAAATAAAATTGGATGAAGCTGTCTCTCAGTCTGCTGGTTCTGGCCCCGAGGCTCTTCAGTCGCCTTCCTGGTGGCAGCAAACTGAAGAAGCTGTTGGACAGATGGGTGGAGTCACTGTGATGCAGAGGCTTTTCCAGATGAGGCGGGTGCAGCAGATGTCCTGGAGGGAGGGAAGAGAGGTACCCACAATCCTCTCTGCTGCTTTCACTACCTGTTGTAACTTTTCCAGCAGGGCCCAGTGCAGGAGTCATACCACACAGTGATGCAGCGGTGAGGATGCTCTCCACGGCGCCTCTGTAGAAGGTGCTCATAATGGGGGTTGAATCTCTCGTTGTCCTCAGTTTGCAGAGGAAGTAGAGTAGCTGTTGGGCTTCGCTGACCAGTGATGCTGTGTTCTTGACCAGGAGAGATCTTCTGAGATGTGCACAGCCAGGAACTTGGTGCTGCTTACCCTCACAGGAGCACCATTGATGGTTAGTGGGGTGTGCAGGGTGTGAGCTCTCCTGATTTCTGTGATGATCTCCTTGGTCTTCTCCACATTCAGGGACAGGTTGTTGTTGCTGCACCACTCAGCCAGATGTTTAACTTCACTCCTGTAGCAGGCCCTATCGTTGTTGCTGATGTGACCTACCACAGTTGTGTCGTCTGCAAACTTGATGAAACGGTTGGAGCTGTGTGATGGTGTGCAGGCGTGGGTCAGCAGAGTGAAGAGCAGGGGGCTCAGCACACATCATTGGGGAGCCCATGTACTCAGTGTTCTTGTGCTGGAGGTGATGCTGCTGACCCGTACTGTCTACTGTCTTCCTGTCAGGAAATCCAGCAGCCAGTTACACAGTGAGGTGCTGATGTAACAGTGTTTATGTGGTATTATTCCACTTGCCACAAATGTCAGTGTAATGGGGAAACAGCCCCCCCCCCTCCCTCAGTGTGGCTGGTTAGGTGAGGCTGGCTGCAGTAATCGCTGCCAGTCTGCCGTAGCCATACGAGAGGTGAGTTGTGTTGTTCGGCACACGATATAGCTAAGTAGTACACATAAAACATAAAACATGTTTGATTAGCTGATGGGCACCAAGTGTAATAAGTGCTTAGTGGACACATGTCCAACACCAGTTTATGTACTTTTCATTTGTTTATTACTGTGTAAAACTGTGTGCTAAAGCAGAATGCTAATGGGATGTTCTGCTGTAGTGTTTCTGTGCGGAGTGGTGTGTGGCGAGCCTGTGCACTGATAAAACACCGTTGTTTCCATTCAGGTACATCATTGGTTGTTGCTGTTATTTTATTGTACGTTAAAAATTGTAATATTGCTGCAGTAATCGCTGCCAGTCTGCCGTAGCCATACGAGAGTGTGCTGTGCAGAGTGGTGTGTGGCGAGCTTTTGCACTGATAAAACACCGTTGTTTCCATTCAGGAAATAAAGTGGCAACGATCGATCAGAGACTCCTTGTCTTCTTAAAAACACAAAGCAGAGTCGAGGAGTTGGTTTGGGCCGAACTGTTGCAGCGGGGTGATGCAGAAACCGGTTACACTGATCCCAGCAGATCCAGTTTAAACCACTAAATGAGAAGGTGTTTCCAAACTTTTTCCTGTTTCTCTTAAATATGTACCTATATATATATATTGTTAAAGTGAATTGTTAAATGTTTTATGCTTACCACCTCTACATTGTTTCAAACTCCGTGTTCAAAGGCCCTCCCCCCCAGCCTCTCGAGGTTCTGGGGGGAGGCTGCAGTGTTTTATCACAAGCACATCCCATGTGAAAATTCTGTTTGATGTTTGCTAACCTTCCTGCCCTTTTTATGGTTTCACTGTGTTGTGCATATGGTGAACCAATTAGGGCTGCCACAAACAATTATTTTGATAGTCAACTACTCACCGATTATTTTTGCGGTTAGTCGACTAATCAGATCATGCATCCGTTGGACGTAAAACGTACAGCTTATTGCACAAGCATGCATCTGCTCTTATATAACTATCATTAGCTTACAGCTTTAAG